TCAATAGGACAAGAAATGACTAGACTAATTGACAGCATAAGAACTCACACAAAGAAGTAATACTTGTGCCTTTAAAGAAGATTAATCTCTCACATATACCTTTAATGATAGAAATAAATAAGTCAAATGAAGGACATACAACTATCTTCTTCCATCATGTTGAATCACAATCCTTGCATCTATAAAGAGCTAGAAGTCAACAAAGATTATTACAAGAAGTTATCTTGATCCAATCTAAGTTAAACATCAAATAAAATTTGAAACTTTTTTTGATCCCGACTCAGATAAATTAGACTAAAGAAGAATCAAGCTTTAAGGAGATGAAAAAAAGAAACACATTGGCTCTTCTACCAAGACTATTTATAAAGGAACAATTGAGAGCATGATTTAGATTGAAAGCTATCAAGTCATATATAGATATAAATAGAAGCTTCATTTTTTAATCTATTTCAATGGATGCTATTACAATAATAGGCAATGATAGTGTATTTTTGAATGTCTTTCAAAAATAAATTTTATGAAAGAATCTCTTGAGCGTTTTTTTTCTTTAAGTCTTCAACTAAAATCTCAAAGTCACATTGAACTTATAGCTCATCAATTCCATGCCTCTTTAAGTAAAAAATGAGTTAAATTCTTCAAACTTAGTAAATTTAGCATCTACTATGCTTTAACCATTGTTTTCTGACTCCAAAATACTAACATGGTCATAAGAATGCTTTTAAACAGCAAAGCATATGCCAAAAATACATATAAAAGTATTTAGGCTTATAACCTAGCTTAGGAAAAAATAATGTTGTCCTTCAATAAGATCAAAAGCAGCTCTTGTGCTAGTTAAAAAGCCTATGATATGCTCTCTTTCATTGATATTAGGTTCTTCATAGGTTTTTGAATCGACATTCTAAATCATACCACGTCCACATGCTAAAAATGAAAAAGATGCTGGAATTATCACAAATATAGAAAATGAGCCATAAGGTACTCCTATCTCATTAACAAAGGAAAGAAGAGGTTCATCAATCTCAGTGATAATCAAAAAAATTCAATTATCAACCAAGATATTATCAACATGGCATCCAAAAGGTTCTTTGATTTTAGAAAGTGGTTTTGAAAGTACGTGAAATAATGCCAAGTTGGTCGAAATGAAATAAGGTCAATAGACATAGGATTCCTAAGCCACAACATCCACAAAAGTTTAGAGACTAAGTAGTTGCTTGATATATTGATAAATTTCTAATACTTTTATTTAAAAATCATTTAATAGTGGTTTATTTTCAAAAATACATCTAAGTGGTGTAATTTGATGCATAAACCACTACTATAAGTATTGCATCAAATCTAAAAATAAACTTAATCAAAGATTATCTAATATATTATTGGAGTAGAAAATATTTGCCTTAAAAAAACATTGGGCTTTTGGCTATCACTAATTACATAATCAAGTCTCAAGATAAAAAAGCATCAAGTTTATATATATAAATTTTTTCCTATAAGAGTAATTACATCAATATATAAGTTCTAAGTACTAAAGAACATTCAAAATATAATAAAAATATTCTAAATCCTTATATATTCTTCAGATGAATTTTTCTTAAAATTCAATAGATTATTTCTGATCATTGAACCATCTAAACAAACTAAAATTTCATACGAAGTATTAATGTATTTTAAAAAACTACCAAAACTAATTTCAACCTCAAATTCATCAAAGATCTTGAAATATTGTCAAAATCCTAACAATAGCTTCAAATCCTTACTTACATACATCTATGTATAATTTTCTTCATATCTTACATATTAAGTACTTAAATACCATAAAATTTTGATATATTGCTTTTTAACCTAATAACACATACTTTTAGAAATTTTGAGCAAAATATTTGTTTGAAAATTTAAGATATGGCTCCAACTATTACTATCAACAAAACAATTTACTTACTACTTTTAAAACTCCAAACCTTCTAAAATTTGTGCACAAATTATAGCCAAAACTCTAAACCTTACAATTCTTACTTTTATTCTTGAATGAATCTTTTGAAGTCATCAAAATTCTTATTATGGTTGTTTACAACTTCTTAAGAGCCTATTAGGCATGGCTTTTGACTAATAGAGATAAGGACCTTCATCCCTTGCCTTCATCTATCCATATCTTACTTTCATCCTTCCAAATAAGCTTCTTAGGTATTTGAATATTTATCTTTGAATCCTAATCTTTTCATTAAATTTCATATTAAGTTTTTAAATATTATATTTAATTTAAATAAATTAGATAAACTTCAAAATAATTTTTTTTTACATCAACTCTCTTTAAATTAATCTACTAACTATTCTAATATACATCAAAAAATATAAATATATTTTATATTTTAGTTAATTTTTATATACTATAAATAATTATAGTATAATACTATGATCTGTTTTAGAATGTAAATGACCTTCATAAGACCATCCAGCAATCAATAAGTCTATGTGGCTTAATCTCCTCAAATCCTCATCACTAATGATCATGCCATTACAAAGAAGTTGGCTTAAATAATCAAGAATAGCAAGAGGTTGTAATTATTTGCGATGCTTAGCCAACAATCTTTGGAGATGATGTTGAGCTACTTGATTAGATGTAATTTCAATATTTATGTGAATGTACCATCGAACAGTAAGTCCAACCTTTGATACTACCATCAAACTTATATCAATGCCTGTAAAGAGGTCTATAAGGATAATACCTTCATTTAGTGGATGTTAATAAATAAATTAGGCAAAGGTAGGTAAAAAAGAAGATTTTGGTATCTTTAATATATTCAATGAAGTTACAATCTCTTCACATTAGCAAAAAAATTCTCTACATGTTTTCTAGGGAGGAAATGGATCTTTTCAATGTTTGGCATGAATATCTAAAGACGGTGCATTAGTTGGTCTTATTGAATAGGACTTAAATACTATGGTTTTTTTTAATAGAACCACTTCATAAGACAAATTAAATGCCAATGCATTACAATCAAATGAGGTTTTATTGATATAATCATAGCAGTGGTTGCAAATTTTACTAGAATGAATTCTTTCCTTCCATCATTAGTAGACCATTCTAATCAAATCTACACTTCTTTAATCTAATTATTTAGGCCAAAACCAAATTAATAAAGAGCCTATTGATCAATTAAAATATCATAGTTGATGGCACTAATTACTATTTACTTTAGAAATAAATGTAAATAAAGTAAATAAGATCCAGTGTAAAATATTAATTGCAAAGATTACTTGGTATATTCAGTACCTTGCTTTGTGCTCTTCTATTGAAGTAACAATGGTAAAAGGATAAGATTCCAAGTCTGTAAAAATAAGATTCTATTCTTGAGTAAGCCACTTATCAATCATAATTGGTTGATCTCCAAAATCCAATATTATGTGCAAATGTATAGTATGGATGGTATTACTACTAGTACGGCTAACAATTAGAATATTGTTGTCATTAATTAATTATATAACTTTTGGATGAAAATTTTGATGTTCTCAAGTAGGTCTAGCTACAACATCAAATAAAAATGCAACCTCTATAGTCAATGGTACCTCACTTAAAGGATTTATATTTGTAGCCTTTAAGTGGCCTTCATGAAATATGGAAATAGCTTTAGTTGTAAGTTTTCCTTATAATTTAGTGAAATCTTTTTATGTTGAAGTTTTTGTTATAACTTGAGTTTTTTTTAAGAATGTCATAGGCACTTTGCCTTTCAACATTTTATTAGCCAATTGAAAGATCCATACTACTTTAAATTCTAAAGCCAACAAGTCAATATTAGAAAATATAGGCATATTCAATACTTTATAAGCCAAAGTATGTACTAAATTTTTAACACTAGTATCTTCATCTTAGATAGAAGTTGAATTAGAAGGCTTTGCTATTAAATTAATATCTGCAAGGCCAAAAAATAAAGGCAATTGCGCATAAGTATTAGAATTTCTACAATTGCTTGGACAGCTAAATAGAGGTTCTACTAACTCACTTATCATAGGTGGCATATTTCTAGCTGTTTTTTGGGTACGTGTAGGAGCTACAACCACCACTTGTCCCAATGCACCAAATATATAATTTTTTGGAGAAGGAAAACTTGTTCCACTTCTAAAAGCCACATAAAATCTGATGACTTGGGCTAATAAAGCCACACTATTGAATCTCTTTTCTAGTTTAGCAATTTTAGCATGTAAGGTCTTCTCTTTATGCAAAATAGGTTGTTTGTATGGATGTAATATGAAGCAATTATCTTCATTGTAATTAAGCTTACCATAATGAATATACTTCAATTGCTTCTTTTTAGATTTATCTCTTACTTTAGCCATCTCAACTTTGTGCTTAGACTTCTCCATATGTAAGGTTTTTTTCTTCTTGGGATAGTTGGAATTATTTTTGATGTGATCAAATTCACCACATTACCAACAATGAAATAGTATTTTTAGATTGAGTTTTTGCCAAGCTACTTGTAGCAATTGTAACAAAGTAGTTAGAGTATTGATTAAGGAAATAGCTACTTCTTTTTCTTTGATATCTTACAAAGATGTACCAACTTTTCCTTGGATTAGATCTTCTTCTTTCACCATAGGCATAAATCTTGAAATATCATCCTCCTTAAGAGCTGAAATAAGTTCTATGCTTGGTTCTCAATAATGCTTTATTTTACACAATTCAAGTGAATGTACTTCACTCCATTTTCTATAGGTTTGGAATACCTCATGCTTCAAGTGTTGTAGTATGAACTCAAAGGCATATCACTCATTGAAAGTGAAAGATCTTTGATGCTTTTCTTTTATCCATGTTTGAACCTAAGTTTTCAATTTGACAAAGAAATGTCCCTAGCTCTTCTTGAAAATTTATCCCTCACCATGTTGCAAGGATCATCTTTCATCTTGTAAAATATATCCACTCTTGAGATCCAAAGCCTTTGACTAGTATCCAAGGCTAAAACAAGCTAAAAAGCCTTCTTAGTATCCATCTTTGCCTCAAAGTCCTCAGAGTGATCATAATTTAAGTAGTTTGGTGAAAAAAAAATCAATAATATCAACTCTTTGTGTATACTATAAAAGAACTTCTTTGATACTTGCAACTATCTAAAGACTTAAAAAACAACTTGCACTTCTGAAACTACCAAACTTTGCAATTCAATAATAATCACTTCTATATCACTACAAATCTAACATACCTACAATCATAAAAATCTTGTTGGCTATTAACCTGACCTTATTCTTAGAATATGCCTATCAACACAAATTAATACAAATACAAAATGAAATTATTATAAAAAACCTTTGAAAACAATACTTGCAACTAAGAAAAAGTACCAAAAACAAATTCCAAAATCCATACTAGATCTTTATTTCCAACAATACATAATAAAAAATCAAAAGTAAATCAAAGTAACTAGCAACCACCTGTAGTTGATGGTTACAGATTGCAAAATTTGTGATAATAAATGATAATTGCAATAAAATGAAATGTGGAGAAATTAGAAAAAATCAAAACTCACTTGAAAAGCAATTGACATTTAGTAATGCTACTTCAATGCTCCGATTGACCTCCTCTCTAAAAAATTGAATATGCCAATTAATTCTATAGATCTCTTCCATATGAAATTGACTCAAAAATAATCAAATTTGGACTCCATATGTACTTGGAATGAGCTTCCAAACTTGACACTTAAAGATTTTGAATAATGTGTGTGTGTGTGTGTGTGTGTTTTTTTTTAATGCCCTATAATCGTGTACTGGGTCTATGACTGCGGACCATTGTCATTGTGGACCTATAATCGCAAAGAGCTTTTTGACCGTGGAGCCCAGTCATCGTTGGTCCTATTACTACAAATGGCATGTTATCGTGGTCTTATGATTGCGAGATATCTTATAACCATGCAACCGTGTTACTGTGCTCACCTAAGGCCGTGGCTTGATGTTTTGATTTGTAGGAGAACGCAGCTACCGCCATTGGTCGCTACTAGCTGCCGATTGACACTGTCTTGCACAGCACATGGATTTCAAGCTGCTCAATGATCCTAGACTACAACACCTTGCTCTGCCTTTAGTGCTGTACCGCGCTTTGATCCAATGCCCAACACTCTACTCCAGTATTGCAACCCTCCTCCACCGTAGTTTCGTTTTGTAAGCCAGCACCTTGGTCTACCTACTACCTACGTTGTAACCCTAATTCGCATAGTAAATCCGCAATCTCAATTCTCTAGTACTGTAACCTGCCAACTTAGGACTATATTTCCAAATAGCCCAACCTGCAGATTGTACCTTGATCCTATTGCACCGATCCTCCAATGCCGCCTGTCGCCGCACTGTGTCACTTTTGTGCCCCAATACAATGCTTGCAATCTAGCACCTCGCGACCCGCACTACCACAGCTCGCTCTTCTCGCGATGTTCCACCTCCTTGACCGCAACCTCGTACTCTAGTACCCCGCACAGTCCAGCTCTGTCGCAGCAACAACAGCAATAAGCTCTCACCTAAGCCCTCTTGTACTGCTGTGCAGCTTTGCCTCGCCGTCGCGCTCACTGCCGAATCCTCTCAAGCCTCGCCCATTGCAGCCTCTGCCTCTCGCAACACCCAGCACTCATGTGCCCCGTACTACCTAATATCCGTGACGACCAATACGGTCGTACACAACAGTGCGGCAGTACAACTTAGCTAGGCTCTGGCGCCTAGCACAATAATGATCAAAACCTAGCAGGAAAATAAACCCAAATTGTTATTTATTTATTTTTAATCTACTTCATTTTAACTTGCTATGCCAGAAATTGGAGGGAAGGAGAGATTCTCGTCAAGTGAAAGATTAGAAATCTACACCAAACTAAGTCAAGTTATCTCTCATACCAAAGAGGGAGAATACAAAAATATAAGTATAAAAATAAGAAAAATCCTAAAACATTATTAATATGGCTAAAATACCATAGCCAAGCAAACTCTTACAACAAGTTCTCTTACTTTCAAAACCACTCATAAGAATTGACTTGACAAGAATGTCAAGTCAAGAATTTTTTTCTACTTAAGTACTCAAATCTTAATTAACATGAACAAGTCAATTAACAAAAAAACTATCAATGGATGAAAAACCACTAACCAAACTAAATTGCATACATTTGAAAAGATTTGGTACCCAATGCCATATCACATGATGAGAAAAAAATATATAGCATGTTATCTACATACTTGAAATATTTTACTTAGAATCCAATATTATGTGATAACATGACTATATGGTAAAAAATAAAATATGGATGTTATTGTAGACAAGCCTAATAAAAAGATATAGTAGAAAAACAATGATAAATTATAAAAAGGTAGTAAAAAGATTAATCTTAATACTACTTTTCATAGAAGGGAATTCTTTTTATTTTATAGAAGCATAAATAAATCAAATAAAAGTAAATAAGATAAGAAATTGATATAAGCATATTTAAGAGAGAGTTGAAAAAAGGTTATAGCAAAACTTACCTCAAATTATCAAAAATTGATACCTAGAGAGGACCGACTATCAACATGGATCAAAATCAGACTCCAAAGCACAAAACTGCATACCTATGGCTATTCCAAGGTTCTTTTGCAAATCAAAGAATAGGGTTTGAGAGCAAACTTGAAGAGAGATTTTTAAGTATTAGTTTTAAGTCATTTAAATTAATATTGAGATTTTGAAGAATTCTCAAAGTTAGTGATGTACTTGATAGATTTAGATTTTGAGAAATAAAAATATACTTATAAATTTGAAAATTTCTTGAGTTTTGTAGTATGTGTAAAGATGAAAATTAAACGATTTGTTTTTGTGCTTGTTGTAAATGTCTGTGAGAAATTGGAGGTCAATCAAGTAGTTAAATTGAAGCATATGAAGGTTTTTTCATGTTATGGTCTCCACAATTTGAGATTTAGGGTCAGTGAGTGATTCTAAGTTCTAGAAATATTTGCTAGTTGAATTGAAGTAAAATTTAGTAAGAGAAATTAAGACTTTAATATTTACATACAATCCAATGATTTAAAGCAATTGAATAGTTCAGCAAAGAAAAATTGGTCTTGAAAAATTAGAATTTAAGTCGGAGAAGCAAGGCAATCAATAATCAAGAGGTTTTGGGAGCTTTGTTTGCTATTGGTATATGCAATCTTCTTCAAAAAAAAATTGCTTGTTGCTTACTTAGTTTTTGTAAGGTATGCAAATTTTGAATTAAAATCAACAATTTAATCATTAATTATTGAATTTTTAATCTATTGTAGGATTTTTAAGAATTAAATAAGATTTAGAAATTGATTAAAGATTGATTAGGATTGATTTAGGATCTAAGATTTGGTTAGGATTTAGGATTTTATTTGAATCTGATTAAGATTTGACTAAGATTTGATTAAGATTTGCCTAATTTTTGTCTAAGGTTTGATTAGGATTTTACTAAGATTTATAAGGATTGGTTTAAGATTTAGTGTTTCATATGGATTTGACCTAGAATTTGATTAAGGTTTATTAGGATTATAATTAAGGTTTTAATTAGGATTTGACCTAAAGTTTGATTAAATTTTATTAGGATTTTAATTGAAATTAAATTAAGATTAAATTAAGATTTTTAAATTTTTAATTTTTAATTTTTAATTTTTAGTATTTTTTAAAGATTATTTTTTCTTTAAAACATTTTATCTCTAATATTTCATTAATATTATTATTATTTCTTTAAATATTTATTTTTATATTTCTTTAAGATTTTTTTGTTATTTTTCTTTGACATTAATTTAAGAATTCTTTGTCTTTTTTTTTGTAACTTCTTTTAAATTTATTTTAGATTGATTAAAGTTTGATTAGGATGATTAAAGATTATTTAAAGTTCATTTAAGATTCTATTAGACTTTATAGGATTGTTTTTGCATTTCTACTTACCTTCCATAGTTAGATACTTGGTATATTTTTAAGTAAGAATACACATAATACGACATAAGTAATGAACCTAACATGAAAGCTTGAGGTGGAAGGTCTTGAAATTTATTTATTTTTATTTTTATTTAATAGAAAATAAGAGCAAGAATTTTGAAGGAGCTATGGAAAGAGCTTCAAGCAGAGCTTGAAGTAGAATTTCCACTAAACAATAAGATATATACATGGATCCAACCATTGCAAGTATGTTTCAAGCTTTTACATTGTTTATACAACAACAATAAAGTAATAATTGTAAGAAAGCTTTTGCAATCAAAGCATTGCAAGAAATGAATAAAAAAATTGACCAATTTGATGGAAGAAATATTTCAAAGTATTTTAGATGTTATATGTGGAAAATAGAATTAAATCAAGTTTATGAGAAGAAAGTGATTGAGATATTTGAGCTTCCCATGGTATTAGAGATAAAAGAATATATTATATTAATTATAAAGTATTATAGGAATTCCTAAGAGATATTTTTATATGCATTAAAAGAAAAATATTTCTTGAAAGACATTGATTATATTACTAAGAAATTATTTTTAGAATGGATTGAGTGACCTTATAAGAATCTACAAGCAACAAAACTATTAAGGGAGTTTGAAAGGTAATATTTTTAATTATTAAAGATGGAAAAGTTAACTTTAGAGCTACGCAATATTGAATTATTTTTTCAAGCTGCAGACAAAAAATTATAAGAAAAAATAGATTTACTTATTGAAGATAAAGAAATAGATGAAGGATTGACAATAAAGTAGAGAAATATTAAAGATGCAATGGATTTGCTTGAAAATAAGAAAGAAAGAAAGAAGGATAGGGTTAATATTCCAAGAATAGCTCAAATATCTAAAACTCAAGTATATACAATACAACCAATAATACCTATTATTTAATTTTCAATATCTACATCAAAGAAAGAAGATATGGAAGTTGAAGAGATTATACATGGAATGCAAGATCTTAAAGTTAAATTGATAAGATTTGAAGAAAAGACTTCTATAAACAATTTAAAGGCTATTTCTAAATAAAGATATATACAAAGGTATATTTGGTATAATAATATTTTTCATACTAGGAATGATTGTAAAGAATTTAATGATATAATGCAATAAAGAGTTATTTTTTAGAATGATGGAAAGGTAGCATTAAAAGATATAAGAAACCTCCTTCAAATTAATTTTAACAAGGTAGGTATGAAAGCATTAATTCAAGACTATTTAATAATACATAGAATAGCAACATAAAAAAGTGCAAATTATGGTGATAAGTTAGGATATGGTTAGAGTTGAAGATGACCTTGATAGAAATATAGAGATAAGTGGATACTAAACTTCTGCCATTTTTATAATGCAAAAAAAAAAAAAAAAAAAAAAATCATAAAACATTATTAAAAACTACAACAACAATATGTGATGCAATATGTTGAGAAGATCTTGTAGAGGCTCTTTTAATTCATGCATATAGTACTAAGAATCAATATGAATCATTGGTGGAAGAAAAGAGATCAATTTTTTTTTATGATATAAAAAAAAAGAAATACTTCTAAGAAGCAAACTTAAAGAGACAAGGCTCGTGAGACAGCTTTACAAAAATTTATTACAAATGATACTTCAATGAAATTGGAAAAATAAATAAATAAAGGAAAAAAAGATAAAAGTAAATCAATAGCTTATAAACTATACTTTCATATTGAAGCAACAATATATTTAAAAGGAGTGTTGAAAGAATGTATACTTAATGCTAAAATAGAGTTTATGTTAAAAGAGATTTTAGGAATTGCAAAGAATAAGTTTTATAATGTTATTATTGATAGTATTAAAAAATAATAATAATTAATAGTTGAAGCTAGAGTGAGTCATTTTATTGATGCAAAGACAATCAAGAACAAAGAAAAGATTGATAATGGTTACAAGCAATCAATAAGTGAAAGGAATAGTTATAATCAATGAATTCATTTTGAAGATTATAGTGACAAAGAAATAGAAGCTTCAAGCCATTATACTCAAAAGTATTAAGCAAAAGTAACTATAGAAGTATTGGTGAAGGTATAAGATATAGAAGAACCAGTTCTTGCTTTAATTGAGCACAATTTCAAAATAAATCTTATATCTAAGCATCATTATAAGAAGCAAAAATTTCCAATTGATATAGAGCATGGATAGAAAATACAAGCAATTAATAATATACAAGGTGAATTATATGGAGTTTGTTTAGATATTAAAATCCAAATTAGAGATGTTATAAGAGAGCAATATTTTTTTGTTTAAGATACAAAATTTTATCTAATGATTTTAGAAAAATCATATACTATGATAAGAAACAAAAATACTTGATGATGATTCAACTTTTGCATAGAAATGTAGTTAAGATAGAAAAAAAGCAGTATAATTTCTAACTATACCTTTTTATTTCAAACAAAATTGAAATAGGTTGAAGGAGAAACCATTGCCAAGAATTGTGGAAGAATTTGTAGAATTTGGAGAAATATCACTATAAAGTGGGATTATAGAGATATAAAAGAGGAGGCACTTTTGTAAAATATAAGTATCTTTGATGCAAGTTTTATTAGCATTTTTGAAAATAGAAGTATTATACATAAAAAAATTGAAGATTTAAAAACATAATAATAATAATAATAATAATAATAATAATAATATATAATATATAATATTAAAAAAATTATATAAGTTAAGGACATTAAAAGATTATTA